CCCAGTCGCTCGTAGAACTCGCCGAATCCATCGTCATCGCCGTCGGTGGTCGTGCCCGTGGCCGCGGGGCGCGTGGAAGAAAGCGCATCGAGTTCGCGCTGTCGATCACCATGCTCGTCGGCATAGAAGCGGTCGAGGTACTGGTAGCGCGATGCGACGCGGTCGAGCAGGTCGGACGCCTTGTGCGCGCGCTTGAGCTTGTCCTTGTGTGTGAGCGTCGACGACGACGTGGCCGAGGAGAGCAGCAGGTCGACGAGCGCCTGCTGGTAGCGTTCGGCCTCCTCGTGCGTCTGCCTCGCCACTTCGATGAGCGATGTGTCTGCCATGTCGCCGCTGAGGATGGTCGGGTGTGGGGGATGAGCAGCGTGGCAGAGTGCGAAGAGCGAAAGGTGGAGAGCGATCCGTCTTCTGCGCAGTTCCGAAAGCCGAACTTTTTTTCGGGTCGGCTGGAATTTTTGGTCACGTGCGCCCACTCTGTGCGGATTTGTGTGCTTCCGCTGCTCCACATTCTTTGCCTCTGCTCCTCCATCCTCCTCCTCCTCATCATCTCGGCATCTCGACACCACTTAGGACACTCGCCAATCATGTCCGGCGGTGGAGTCAATGCGGGCGACAGCAAGCTCGTGTTCGAGAGCTCCGAACAGGTCAAGGTGGCCACCACCTTTGATGCCATGGGCCTCAAGGAGGACCTGCTGCGCGGCATCTACGCCTACAACTTTGAAAGGCCGTCGGCGATCCAGCAGCGTGCCATCCTGCCCATCATCCGTGGGCGGGATGTGATTGCACAGGCGCAGTCCGGCACGGGCAAGACGGCGACGTTCAGCATCTCGATGCTGCAGAACATCGACACGACGCTGCGCGAGACACAGGCGCTGGTGCTCAGCCCCACGCGCGAGCTGGCCATCCAGATCCAGTCGGTCGTCCTCGCGCTCGGCGACTACCTCAACGTGCAGTGTCACGCGTGTATCGGCGGCACGAGCGTGGGTGAGGATATCCGCAAGCTCGACTATGGCCAGCATATCGTCTCGGGCACGCCCGGGCGCGTGTACGACATGATCCGACGCCGTCACCTGCGCACCAAGAACATCAAGATGCTCATCCTCGACGAGTCGGACGAGCTGCTCAACATGGGCTTCAAGGACCAGATCTACGACGTGTATCGCTACCTGCCCCCCGCGACGCAGGTGGTGCTGCTCTCCGCCACGCTGCCGCAGGACGTGCTGGAGATGACGAGCAAGTTCATGACCGACCCCGTGCGCATCCTGGTCAAGCGCGACGAACTCACGCTCGAAGGCATCAAGCAGTTCTTTGTCGCCGTCGAGAAGGAGGAGTGGAAGTTCGACACGCTCTGCGACCTCTACGACACGCTCACCATCACACAGGCCGTCATCTTTTGCAACACGCGTCGCAAGGTCGACTGGCTCGCGGGCAAGATGAAGGAGAACAACTTTCAGGTCAGCAGCATGCACGGCGAGATGCAGCAGAAGGAACGCGATGCCATCATGGCCGAGTTCCGACAGGGCAGCTCGCGCGTGCTCATCACCACCGACGTCTGGGCCAGAGGCATCGACATTGCCAACATCTCGCTCGTCATCAACTACGACCTCCCCACCAACCGCGAGAACTACATCCACCGCATCG